TTATATATTTTTGAGACATTTATATTTTTTAAATCGTTTTAGAAATATTTAATTACATACGTAATAAATACATCTATTTTTATTTTATTACAACAGTGTTCAAAATACCTAAACACTTACCTCCCCACTCCCCTTCCCCCATAAAAACTTCTGTGTTTTTCTGCAGAGAGAGTCTGTTACAATTTTGGTGTCCTTTCTTCCTGACCTTTTAAACTTTTGTATACATATATATGAAACTTTAGAAAACACAGCATTACTTTGGGTTTATCTTCTTATTAAAAAAATCCTAATTGTACTGTGCTGCTCTACAACTTACTGTTTTCACTCAATCTGTTTATAATTTATTTGTATTGACATAATATCTAGCGAATTATAAGCTTTCTATGATAATTGGTAATAAAGGCTCTAACCAAAGATCACATAATGGTATCTCTTGTCCATCCTAGTAACTTTCTGATTGTCTTATTTATTTTTCTTATGCATTTTGTCAAATTTCTAAGTTAATTTTTTTAAAAGTTAAATGCCTTTTCAGCCAGTGATATCTCTTTATAAAACCTATGTAAGCATTTCTTTATCCTGTAGCCTTTTCTGAAAAGTCTTCATGAGAAGATGGACAACTTCCAATAGGGTTTAGTTAGATTTTTTTATTATTGTTTCCTATTTCTGAACAGTGTTTATATTTAAAAAGTTAAACTTTTTAAACTTTTTAACTTTAGGATATGAAATGGAAGTTGAAAAATCAGACTAAATAATTATTCATTAATTTATCATTTTAAAAGACATATACATTGATTTTTACCTTTTATCTAAATGCACAATTATGAATACACAATTGATATTCTCTTAGTTTGAAAAATTATTCAGATGTTCATTCTGATTGTGAAAATGTCTTTAAAACATATTTATTAAAGAGATAGCAAAGAAACTGCTTAGAATTCATTTACAAATATGTTTTAAAGCTACTTTCAAAATCACTTGGAAGAGTCCATAGATAATGTAGTTGAAAGCAATCTTTTAGGTCTACTTTGGTATCAGATAAACTTTCAGAGATGTAATAAATATTGAAAAATTAATTAAGACATTGCTAGACTGTCAGAATGAGTATAATTAACTGGGTTAGTATCTTATTAAAAATCTAAAGAATACATTTTTAAAACAGTAAAATGTATTTTAAAAGTTACAGGATTGCGTTACGGTATTAAAAAATTACCACCCTTCATAAAAACATCCTTTCCCAATTTTGATTACTTGGCAAACCTCATAAAGGGACAAAATAGTCCAGCAATGTTGTAAAACCACCCCCAATTTGCCATTTTATGACAAACACATCTGTTATTAATTTTTGTTAAATTGACTTTTTTTCTCTGTAACATTTTATTTCTTTTCTAAAAAGTGTTTATAGCAAAATGTTAACAGCTGTTAAATCTACAGCATGGGCATTTTTCACACCATTTTCTCTATTTTTCTGTGTATTTGAAAAATTCAGAATTAGTCTTTTAAAATTAAAAATATTTTTTTAATGGGATCTTCAGAGATATTTTTAAAAACTGTGCCAGCTCCCCAGTGGGAAATAGAGTGAGAACCCAGAGAGGCCCTCAGATCCTTTGATTACTACTTTAAAAAGATGTCTACTTGTATAGTACACCCTGGCAGTCTGTTTCATGGGAAAGCAGCTCTGGGGCTAAATAATGGATGTACTGCAAGAAAAAAAGGAGGAGGAGTAGTCATTGGGGTCTGGAGTTCGAAATGTTTGGGAAATTTTAGGATAAGCAAAATTTAATAATTTCATTACTTTAATGTCCTAGCGGGCATTATAAATCTCTAAAACTTGAATATACTGTATGTAACATTTCCCAACCTTATTTAACTTTCAAAACCTTTGTGGAAGAGCAGTGTGCAGGACTAATCTCTGAGGAAGACAATTTGGGGAATACTGTCTTACAGTTTATGAAGTGCCTTTGTAATACCTTTTGAAGATTTATATTGCCCTGAGGAATGCTTTCTCTAGACTCATGTTAAGAGGGAGAGGAAATTAACATGAAAAAAGAAAGGTGAGTGGCTCCAAATTCATATCAGTATCAAATTCCAGAGCTGATGAGCTGATTCCTTTTTTTTTTTTTTCCCACGCCAAGCGAATTTTAATATGAATAATCCAAGATTATGGTGATTGCAAATCTGTGAACAAACTAGGAATTATTCACCTTACTTTGAGCATGCATTTTTTTTTTCTTTTGGCATATTATGGGGGTACAGATTTTAAGGTTTCAATAAATGCCCATTTCCCCCCTCCCCCCAAAAGTCTGAGTCTCCATCATGACCATCCCCCAGATGGTGCACATCTCACTCATTGTGTATGTATATACCCACCCCCCTCCCCCCTCCCCCCTCCCACCTGCCCAATACCCTATTACTGTAGTACCTATGTGTCCACTTAGGTGCTAGTCAGTTAATACCAGTTTTCTGGAGAATATATCTGGTGCTTGTTTTTCCATTCTTGGGATACTTCACTTAGTAGTATGGGTTCCAGCTCTAACCAGGAAAATATAAGATGTGCTATATCACCATTGTTTCTTAGAGCTGAATAGTACTCCATGGTATACATATACCACATTTTATTAATCCATTCTTGGATTGATGGGCACTTGGGCTGTTTCCACAGCCTTGCAATTATGAATTGTGCTGCTATAAACATTCGAGTGCAGGTGTCTTTTTTGTAGAGTGTCATGATTCCTTTTTGATTTTGTGTTTTCTGAGTAGGCTGAAGGTTGGAAGGAAGCTTTTGGATTTTAGTTTGTGTAATCTTGGAATATAACAAGAAAGCCAACTTAAAAGAGCCAGGATAGGAAAAATTTACGTAGTAAATACTATTAGGAGAATGAGAAAAATAAAATTTAGTTATACTGTCTTATTAGGCACTGCAGTAAATTCTGGGAGAATTAAAAATTTTAACACAAGAAAACTTTTAAATTATAATAGACTTAACTCTGGTTAGAAGATGTTTCCTATTTATAAAATAGAAATATCAGTTACGAGATTAATAAATTTAGTAGACAAGGGAGAACTTCCAAATGTTAATTTTTTCATTTTGAAAATATAAATGATTGCTATTTTGTAAAAAAACAAAACAAAAAAAGAGCAACATAATTGACTTTTTTTTTTTTCATAATTGACTTTTGATAAGGAACGGAAGGATTACATTTGAATGTGAGGACATTGTTAAAAGACTCAATAATATAACCTATTCATAAAAAAATATATTTTGATATAATTGATAACTAAATTTTTTAAAAATATTCTTTTCAAAGATAAATTGGTCTTTTTAGAAAATTTTCACTATTAGGGAAATTAAAATGGGGACATAATTTTTATTTATCTCAAGGATAAGGTCATTCTTGAAAAACTAACCAAATACCATTTTTACATCTTCCCAAGTTAATACAGGACAATTTTTAGGCCTGAAAACTTAAAAAAAAATTCAATTAAAAAAAATACCATATAGTATTCAACCCATTTAATCTTGTCAGATGATAATATTAAGACATGAAGTAATTTGTGTAAAGTACAGTAGGTGGTGCTGTGGTAAAACTTCTGTTCCTGGAAAGAGTTGCATTCAGGATTCATCTATATTCTTCTACCTGTGTTGTTGCTTAAAAAAAAAAAAGTTTTTAAATAAGGCAAGTCTGAAGAGAATCTAGCAAATTTGCTTAGCCTAATATACATTTATTTGCAGTGGTTTTTCAAAAACAACAAAATTAAGTATAGTAATTAATGTTAGTGTTCCTTGAACTAAATTCTACCAAAAATAAAAATGGAATGTACTATAAATTGATCCATAGGCATACATCTTAATTTCTCAAAATTCTTTCATGTGTATGTTAATTTCACACAAGTTATTCTCAACTCTCCTTCTTAATAACTAGGGTTTTAAATTGTTTCCTTATTGTTCATATAAGCTGAAATAGTAAAGAAGAAATGCAACATGAGGCCAGAGAACAATACATTTTAATATGGTGATGCCATCATACTTTTAATATTTCAAGGTACTCAAGCCTTCTCTTCTTAAACAGAAATCTCAGTAGAAAATTAATTCACAGTTACTTGAAAAGCATGAACAATTTTTTATTCCTTTGAATAGTATTTCGAAAGGAGAGTTTTAGAAAACTTGAATATTGTACATTTAAAAGCATGGTGTAAAATTGTTGTAAGAGTAGTGACTTGGGTTGTTTGGTGCATTGAAGTGTAATGATGCAAATATCTTAACATTTCATTTGCATTGATTATGGTTAAATTAGTGCATTCCAGTCCTGGCTTATAGGCTTCCCAATCATCTGTGGAACATCTTAAAGAAAGTTTCAGGGATTCTGATGTAGCAGGTGTACTTACAGCACTGGTCTTGGTAAAATCTTGCTGCCATTTTAATGGGAGATGTATCATGGAAAGGAATACAGCAGAGCATATTCAGTCCTATGAAGTTATCTTTGAATGGCCTAATGTTTGATCTTTACTAGGAGACAGAAATCCTTGTTTAAAATCCATTTAGCAAGTTTGTATAAAGTTACATTTTGAAATAGGTAAACATTTACAAAGCAGCAACAAAAAATATATGTAATCTTAGAAAGCTGCTATGAAAATGGAAATACTTATGCTGTTTAAATTTTTAGAAGCATGTAATAGTTATTGCACATGGAAAATAAACATTACTTGTGGTATTTACTATTAAGTCATTGGTTTTCTTTCTTGGTATAAAAAATAAATGGGGCTTATTTGTTATTTTAGTGTTAAAATTTGAAAATTCTAAATGAATTTACCCAATCATAATGTAATTCATTTTCCCCCTTATCATTTGAATTCTAACAAATTAATTAGAATCCAAATTTAGACTGTGATCTCTTGTCCTTTAATTTTTATTTCTCTTGAATCTGCTTGTTGTCTTCTGTTTTTGCTTCCCAATTAGAGAACTGCTAGTTCTCTAACAGTTGATTTTACATACTGTTTTTCAGCTGATTACCTGGCTCAGGCATTTGATTCTCTTTGTTTGGACTTGAAGACAGATGAAGGAAAAACCATGTTTTTGGGATATCAAGCTGTTCCAGTACTATTGAGTCATCTAAAAATATCCAGTAAAGGACTTTTGTCCAATGTCATTGATAGTTTGCTTCAGATGACAGTGGAATCTAGTAAGTTTTAAGTTTTATATACATAACAGAAATGAAAACAGGATGATTTTTCTATCCTCATTTGGTCTGAATATATAACTCCACATATTAGACACTATTGCATTTTATAATTTAAATGCTTAAAAATATTTTTGACAGCTGTTTGGGGCATTAATAACATCACTCCTTTGTTCAGATTTTTACTAATTTAGCACAATTTCCAGTACTTCATTATGTGGGTACACTGCAAATGTTACTCACATATTTGAGCCTCTTTCTCTGTTCTCTTTTGTCCCATCGTTCTGACAGATCTAATCATATATTCCATGTTAGCTCAGAAGGAGTGAAGCCATCAAATATATCTCCACCTAAACTGAAAATAATGACACAAATATTCCTGTTGCCTATTCAACCATACTGTCTTATTGGATGAATCGGGACAGGAGGGGGGACTTCAGCTATGTATGTGGCTACTCTGATTCCTATTTGTAATATTTTATAGTATGTGGGGGGTTTTCTTTTTGGTTTTTACATTGGTTAATGGGTTATTTTAACATGCTGTTATTGGCTTCTAATTGAGCATAGATATGCACAGGGATACTGAATATCAGTGCTTTGCTTTGCTTCCATTGACATTGCTCTTTGAACCTCATGCAACCCTTTGACTTATAAATGGCCATTTTGTTTAAATAATTCTTTTTCATTTGTAGTTGCCTTCTTCCCTCTTCCTTCTACAGCATGCCTGCAGTCACAGCTATTCAAGAGGCTGAGATGAGAGGATCACTTGAGTCCAGGGTTCCAGACTAGCTGGGGCAACATAGTGAGACCCATCTGAAGAAAAAACAACCCTCCCTCTAAAAAAAACTAAAGCTAAAATGTTTATGCCCTCCAGGGGTGGAAACTGAAAGTGGAAAGCCATTGCTCTGCATGGTAGGCAGCAGCCTGTGCACTTGGTGCTGCCTGTGGGTGACTCCAATGGTTGGGTGCAAAGCATGGTTATGCTTCTAATGAGGTACATTTGGTGTATAGTTTCATCTATTCAGTTCACTTTTATATATGGTGGTGTTTTTCCTTAATATCCCTGTGAAGGAGGTCTGATAGGGATATTGAGGCCTAGAAAAATTAGGTAATTTTTCCAGGGATTCCCACAGCTTGACCAAGGTAGAACTGAGTCTAAACCTTTGACTCTAGACATAAGGCCCATTCTACCATAGCACTATAATTAGGTTTTCCAGGGTTTTTGTTTTTTTTCTCCTGTCCCAGAATGTTAGTGGTCACCGACATAGTTTATCAATCAATATTTTTAGCCATTGTAACTATTAAGATATTGGACCCAAGATTACTTGTTAAGTTAGATTTCCAACTTGCTTCACAGGAATTTTTTTTTTAATGAGGACAATAAAAAATCTTACCAGATGTAGGTGTCCATTCATTAGAAAAAGTCGTACTGAATATATCGAAGAGAGATGAAATATTTCTCCTGTAGTCAAAGGAAAACTAAATATAATTTTATGAAATAGTTGACCTACTTGGGTAAAATGACTTCGTGGCACCACAAATTCAAATTTGGAAAAATTAGATTAGATAGGTAATAGTCATTCACAATGTTTAACCTTTGTTCAAGTTCCTCTTAATTCCAAGATTATGCCTTTCTTGCTCAAATCTAGTAGATAAAGCAATTTTTAATACTGATCACTATGAAATCCATGTTATTTTTAGTGATAGGAAACTTTCAGAAGATCAGAAATGAGCAAATACTTCAATAATGTCTGACTGATGTTAATTTATTTCCTTGATGTTTCCCATTTTTAATGTAAATCCAGTACCTGTTAGCCAACACAATTTGTTGAAGGGATAAACGAATGATAGATCAAGTTTTACATTTTGTTTTGTTTCTTCTAGTTTTCAGATTATAAACTCATTTCATCATATATTTAATTTTGCCATGTCATTTTTTTAAGATAATAGGAAAACATTGTTGCAAAAGAAATCTCACTAGAATTGATTTACAGATGGTTTATCTTACCTTAATAATGGGCCTTTGTGGCCAGCCATATGTGAGTTGCCGTGTTTCAAAGCATCATGTTTGTAGGGGGCTGCAGAGCCTGGGGCTCCCTCAGGAGCCTTCATAGGCTGGAAGGAGGTGTCAGTGGTCTGAATTCTGAGTGCCTGTGACAAGGAAGTCAGTACAGAAATTGAGTGTTTAGAAACTTGTATAGTAATTTGACAGTAATTTTATGTCTATTAAATCAGATAATTAGAAACATTTGGACTTGTATTTTATATGTTCCTTTTTAAAATTTTTCCATTTTGCTAGTATTTTTAATAGCATTTTGTAACAGGGTGATTGTGTTGGATAAGAAATTTAAGAAGACTGATCCTTCTCCATAGTAGCTTGAGAAGCAGTAGGCAATTCCATCTCACTGGATACCTTGTGTTAGGCATGTTGGGGGCAGTTGTGCTGCAGAGAATTTTTTTTCTCTTGTCTACTTGTATCCTTCCTCCAGATGCATCTTTTTAGATATGAGAACATTAGCTGCAAAGGTACTGTTTTTTGAAAACTACTAAAATGCATTTCTGAGTATAAATTAAGATTTGCACCTTCATTGATCTTGCCAAACATATATTATGAGCACAATTTTATTTTTAGATTTAGAGCTTCTGATTATATCTATTTTGGGCATGAGTATATATCATGTAATAACTTAGTGGTCTTGCTTTTAGAAAATTAGTTTGTGGTTTCTTTTTCTTTTTCCTGTCAGTAGTTGAAAGCTATTAATATAACCCCACTTATCTGGGTTTTGCTGTGTGAGAACTTGAGTCCTTTTTTGTTGCGAAGAATTCTTTCCTTTTCTTGTCAGACTTAGTTTAAATAGAGGGATTTAAGTTTGTATTATTTTAGTTTACTCTCTCGTGGCCTAGAAACTGCCTTGTCTAGGTAACATGCTACTGTTTAACAGTTGAAAGGCAATAATGTATTTGAGGACATTTGCAGACTTTTTTTTTAAAGTAAAGCTTATTATAAAAATAATAGAAATTTGGAAAACTACAAACCAGCAAAATAAAATTGTCTGGGGTAAGGGCTGGGGGATGTTGGTTAAGGATACAAAATTTCAGTTAGAAAGGAGGAGTAAGTTCAGGAGATCTATTGTATAAGTTGAATATGCATTATCCGAAATGCTTAGGTCCAGAAGAGTTTCAAATTTCACATTTTTTTGAACTTTGGAATATTTGTGTTATACTTACCAGTGGAGTGCCCTTAATCTGAAAATCCAAAATCTGAAATGCTCCAAAGAGCATGATCTTTGAGCATTATATCAGTGCAGAGCATTTCAGATATTGGATTTTTAGATTTGGGATGCTCAACTAGTATAGCGTGGTGATTATAGTTAATTAAAATATATTGTATTCAAATGAAAATTGCTAAGAGAATACATTTTAAATGTTCTCACCACAAAAAAATAAGTATTTGAGGTAATGGATATGTTATTTATCTTGATTTAGCCATTCCACAATATATTCGTACATGATATCAAAACATCATATTGTACATGATAAAAATATATACAGTTTTATTTGCTAATTTTAAAAAACAAATACCCCCCCAAAAAAATCTTGACTATCCGAAGATAAATTTTTCTCAGTTAAAAATTTTCACATGGACAAATTTCCTTTATAAGTGTGTTAGTCCATTTTGCATTGCTAGAAAGGAATACCTGAGGCTGGGAAATTTTTAAAGAAAAGAGGTTTATTTGGCTCACAGTTCTATTACTACCTGTGGACATTTGCTTCCTTTTTTCTGTGAAAGGTTTTTGTGATATTGGTTAGCTTTTTCTTTCCTTTGTTGAACATAGTTATATCCTAGTGTATATACAGTTACATACTTGCAATTAGGCCATGTTATACAGGTTGGGCATCCCTAATTTGAAAATCCAAAATCTGAAATGCTCCAGACTCTGAAACTTTTTTGAGCTCTGATGTCATGCACATAGGTCATGCTCAAAGGAAATGCTCATTGGAGCATTTCTTATTTTAGATTTGGATTAAGGATGCTCAACTGGCAAGTATAATGCAAAGAAAATGTCAAAATGCAAGAAAATCTTAGGAGATACCGCAAGGAAAATATACTTGGGTTCTTCTGTTTAAATTCAACGTAGGAATATGGGTAAGAAAATGTAATAAAGTTAAAGATAGGAAAGAATTATCAGATACTTTGGACTTTTACTCCATGCCTTAAACTTGTTTTATAGATCTAGAACTTATTTCTGAATATATCCATATTTTTAGTTGGTGCTGGTACTGTTTTTCATTGGCAGTTAATTTTACTTGACTTGGGCCACATAATTTCTTCCTTTATTGTTTTTAATTTATTCTGTCATTCCATGATGTTATTGTTATTAAGGAGAGTAAAAGAAGGATAATTTCAGTGAAATTATAAATGTGATATTTCCAACAAAGCACCAACTTAGTGTATACTCACCTATGTTTCTAGTCATGAATCCTACATACATACAATCTGTTTTCTCACTTAAAAGTTTTCCCGTGGACAGATTTCCTTTATAAGTGTGTTAGTCCATTTTGCATTGCTAGAAAGGAATACCTGAGGCTGGGAAATTGTTAAAGAAAAGAGGTTTACTTGGTTCACAGTTCTGCAGACTGTACAAGAAGCACGGCGCTAGCATCTGCTTCTGGTGAGGGCTTCAGGGAGCTCCCAGTCAAGGTGGAAAGTGAAGGGGGAGCAGGCATGTCACGTGGTGAGAGGAGCAAGAACACAAGGAAGAAGCGCCAGGTTCTTTGAAACAAGCAGCTCTCCAGTGAACTAGTAGAGGGAGAACTCATTACCACAGGAAGGCACCAAGCCATTTGTGAGGGATCCACTCCCATGACCCAAACAACTCTCACTAGGCCACACCTCCAACACTGCGATCACATTTGTATGTGAGATTTGGAAGGGACAGGTATCCAAACTTTATCAATAAGGAAACACAATGGGAAGGTTTATTTTTAATAACTGAAATATA